TAGAAACTTAATCTATGTTCCATTTGGTCGGGTTGACGTAACTAAGAGAGGTTTATTTCAAAGCTTAGCTGTTACATATAATAATTTAAGTTGTTCTGATGAAATTGATATTTTTTATGATAGTTTATCCTCGTTTAAGCTTAAAATTAGTAAGGTTGTTTGATGTTAGTTATTATTTGTCTCTTTCTATATGTTTTTCTCCAACCTGTTAGTGGAGGTTCTTATCTCTGTTGGTTGAGAATTAAATAAATTAATAAATAAATAAATAAAGTATGGATGTTGGTTAGAGGATCCAAAGCTTCATTGAAAATCGAACAATAATCTCTGATATGTTTGTCAAGACAACCAATAATCTTTCTGTATTGTTTTTGATGTTTCTTTGTGTACTACAGTACTTATTTATTGCTCTGACATTCGCCATGGAGCAATGGTGCAAAGTTCTAAATCAGCGTCTGCTGTATCATCAGGATGATTTCCAATCGAGAATAAAAACCTAGAAGTAAGATGAGTTTGTACGTGAAACTTTGACATGCAAGCGGCAGGGAAAACACTAAAATTTCTCAAAAAGCTTATAGAAGTACAGTTGAAAGTCGTTGCTTGTACGACGAATTAAAGGCGGTCCTACTTAGAAACTGCTCTAATTGGTCAAGGAGGTTTGGTGGATGGACTTCAGGAATGTGCTAGAGTAAGTCTTGAATTTTCTACCCCCGAAAATGTGGACCTTGGGGGTGTATATGCACCCGTCGTATCCCTCCTACATACGGGCCTGATGATGATCGTGATAACGATGAGATGATAGTTGTGGTGATGATGATGTCATACAATGATGATGTTGGTGATGATTAAATGAAAACAATGAATATTAGGGACTATGATGTGATGATATTTGTGATGACAATGAGGATGAACAGATGATGATGCAAATGATGAAGACAACCATAATGTTAATGATGGTTCATCACTGTAAGGTGCCTGGGTGAAATAGTACCAATCACAAATTCTAACAAATTAGTTTACACCCCCATACCAACATTTAACCCATCTTTTAACTCTCTTTCTTATTTAACTCTCTTTTTTGAGAGGCTATCCGCAATTCCTTTTGTCGATAGATTGCATCTGTGAAGGGTCTTTCGTACTTGAGTGCCACGTGATAAGATGTCCCCACCAATCCAGTTAAAATAAACCCAACAGGACTGGCATGCCTGCAGAAAGAATAAATACGAGAAAGAAAATTAACAAAGTGTTGCTGTTTACTCGGTAGTTGCACTTTAATAATATTTTATCTTTTAATAATTTTGTATTTTTGTACATTTTGTAAATCTGCTCACAATTCAGTTATGTTTTACTGTTATGAGTTTTGATAATAAATACAGAATGAATGAATAAATGAAAATTTAAGATTAAATCGTGGAAAAATCTGGAATCTTCAAGGACTGCAAGTATTTTTTGGGGCCCCATGCACCCATCCCCCATCCCACCCCCTAGATACACCACTAAATTCGAAGCTGGACACCATACACACCAGGCCATATTTGAAGTCAATTTCATAGTGCAAAGGAGGTGGCTTACCAGATAGCTAGGCCAAGGAAGTTGAGTGTTGAGCCCAAGTACATTGGATCATAAGGAATGTTGTATGGAAACTTGGTTACTTTTTGGTCTAAAAGAATCCCAAAATAGTCACCTACAAGAAAAAATATAAAATAGTTATATAACGAAACTTTATACAACACATAATGAAATGTAAAGTCAGAAATATGGTTAATAATGTGCAATTTATATTCTTTTTTAGACATGATATTATACTTTATGTTCAGGGGTCCCAAGTTCAAAGAACCTATTTTCAGGAGATTCGTTTAATGACATTGGGGGCGCTATATATTCAATGAGGGTAAAAGTGTAGGTACCAAACAAAGGGTCACGCCCACTTCAGGCCCACTATGATTGGGGCTGAGGTGATGACATTTTTTTAGAATAGGCACCTTTAGAAGCTGGAAATGAAAGGTTTAGGCCTAAATAAAACAAAAAGTTTTGTTTTACCGAATTTGTGGGAGATAAGTGAATTTCCAGGAGATTTTTTCTTGTTTGCGGGAGTGTGGGAGACCATACCAATTTCCGGGAGACTTGGGATGCTGTATATTACACTTTTAATATTGTTCTTGTTGTATAATTTCATATGATTTATTATTTAATGATATTTAACTACAATAAAAATAATATATCATTTTGGATTGTTGAGCTCATAGATTTCATACCATAATTGTTCATAATAATAAGTATTAATTTATAGAGTGCATAATGGATAAAACCTTATGCCCTAGACCGTTATTTTGATATCAGATAGAATCTCTATGAACTATACCTACTCTCTTAATTTAAGCGACTAAGCGAATTCAAAGTGTTGGTCCAGCCAGCCCGGACTGCATTAATTTTTAAAATTCAAATTAAAGCGAGTGTAATTTCGGGCCACCTAGGTTCCATAATCATAAAATTATGCACCTCAGCCCCGACCACAGTGGTGCTGAGGTGGTCTAGGACCTCCATCTGTCAAAATAACTCCCAGGGCCCTCTCTATTTTGAATTCCTGGATCTGCCATTGTTTTTAATGCATGTATGAATAATATTGTATATTTCAGTAGGGTCACTCATAGCAAAATAAAGGCTGAGTATTTTTTTTTTACCCTCTCCATCGGTTTTACTAGCACTACATTATAATTCTCATTCATTCATAAATTTTCTTTCAAATCCATTACCTGTCACTCCATCATCATTAATGTTGTCATCATCATTATCACTTACCAAAAAATGTTCCAGTAAAACCCAGAGTCCAGAAACTCCATATCACTAAGGTCATACCAACAGCTAAGAGCCCAGATGCTGCTGTCTTGGACACCGGCATTGTTTGCAGCAATTCCCATTTAGGCTGAGACTTCAAAGTTGTTTCATACCTATAACAAATAAGTGAATTAAAGTAAAATATGTTTAACAGTAGAGGTGGGGGAAGGGGAAGAAATTGCCCTCCTAACCACCTACTACTACCAATGCTTTGTATCTTTTATATTACATTAATATATTATTTCCTGGATTAATGAATATAGATGATTAGATTGTGACAGGCTGAGTTTCATTCCTAGTTGATTGATTCCCTTTCCTGGAGAGCATCAAACATGAAAGCAGCTACAAAGATTTAATGATAGGAGCATAGTTCTTCTGATGCCTGATTTATCAAAATAAAATTGATTACAACCAATGCACATACATTTGCATTGCCTGACCTGCGACTATACCACATGAATTATACCACTTTTACACTATCAAGCCAAAACAAACACTGGTGCAACACCGGAGCCACAATCCATTTACACTTAACAAAGAAACTGCAGGATGTTCTCGGGTCGCACCCATTTACACTTGATAACAACCACCAGCTGGACACCGGTGTTGAAAGCTGCACTGTGTTATATCCTACTAACGGGATATTTAACTATTTATAGTGACAACAATAACGACACATTTTACACAGTATAGCAGCCATCATTGAAGTAAAGTGTTTATTCAAGTCTATAGAGGGCAGCATGATTGCTATTAAACATTACACCCTCTATGGACATTTTAAAGAAAAACTAGCTCTTAAGTCTGCAGTCAAGTTTAGTTTCACAGGAGGAAAACATTATAATTTATTTGCCATTATATTATATTTGTCAAATATTATATATTTATTTATTACCACTAAAAACCAAATTAATTTCAAAACAAAAATATAATCCAAAGCAATAATATATGACTTATATTATGTTTATTTTTAACTAAATACGTTCAAAATATACAAATAGTTATATTATATTTCTAAAAAAATGAATAATTTTAATGAAAAGTGGATGATTAAAATCCCGGTTGTGAAAGTCGGGACTGTTTACACTGTGTGTTTCGATGTCGACAGGACTATACCGGAGAAGCTTCTCCTGAAAACATTCTGCTTTGTTAAGTTCGTGTTCAGCACAGTGGAGTTGTTGACGTTCACCCATTTACACTAACCCCAACTCCGGTATTGACAAACGGTGAAAAAAAGTGGGTTTACTCCAGAGTCCCAGCTGATAGTGTAAAAGGGGTATAAGACAAAATAAATAAAAATAATAATACTTACTGGATATCTCTAAGACATACGAAGAAGATAATGGGAACAGCAAGTGCCACACAGCCTCTGAAGGGACTGCCAAACATCGTGCTTAACCTCTTTGTGTAGAACTCCCATCGGGCTGTCTAAAAGACATTCAAGCAAATCAAACTGATAGTTACATAAATAAATTAAAGGAAGTTAATAATATTTATATTGTAACTTGTATTTATTTATTAGGTAAATTGTTGAATAGTTTATCTCTTAAATTTATTGCACCTCCGGCTGTAAAAGCGCATAGAATTCCTTAAATTATGTGCTTTATAAATTCACAATTTTCATTATAAAGATCTCAATATACATTTTTCTTTTTGTATTTCAACTTTTTTTTGTGCTCAATGCAAAGTCGCTAATTTTCGTTGTTGTTATAAATTGGTTTTTTTTTCCAATTAAAAATAGATAGATTTTAAAACAAACTGATTAATTTTATATTTCAATAGATAATAATAATAACTTGAATTTGATATAGCTCAAAAAGTAATGCAATAAAATAGATAGTGTAATATGTACCTATTTCATTTAAATGATATACTATTAAGTAGGGCATAAGCAAGAGAAACACAAGTAGAAACATACATTTTATAAAAAATATTTTAAAAATATTAGGAATAATATTATTAATAGACAGACTTGCATGTCTATTATAAAAAGATTTCAAATATATATTTCTTTTTGTATTTCAACTTTCTTTCATGCTCAATGCAAAGTTGATATTGTTGTTGTTTCTTTTTTCCAATACACAACAGATTTCAAAACAAACTGATTACTTTTATATTTCAATAGATTTCATTTAAATGATAAGCTATCAAATTGGACATAAACAAGAGAAAGACAAGTAGACTAAATCCTTTCCCAGCCACCGGGGCTCGTAGGGCTGGAGCTTATTCCCAGTTTCTGTAGTGTGAAGCGGATGAGAGTTGTACTTCCCCTGGACGGGGCACTAGTCCGTCACAGGTTAATCCCCAGCAGTTTGCTGGTACCCATTGATACAGCTGGGTGGACTGAAGCAATGTAGCTAAAGTGCCTTGCCCAAGGACACAAACGAATCTGCACAGCGGAGACTCGAACCTCTGACCTTACAATTGAAAGCCCAAATGTCAATCGCTGCGCCAAACTGCCGCTAAAAAAGACAAGTAGACCTAAACATAAATGTGTGAAAAAAATATTTAAAAAATAATAGGAATAATGATATTAATAGACAGACTTGCGTGTCTCATCAGACAGTTTAACCTATCATTATCGGAACTTGTTTGATTAGGTCGAGAATCACCGGAGAATTTTCATCGGAAATGATCTATATATATAAATTAAATTATATAAGTGTCTGAGAAGGATTACACATTTAATTCTTAAATTATGATTAAGAGACAAAGATGGCGGTAACTTAAGAGGATTTAGTAGTTTTGAATTATTTTGACGCGAGTTCTAAGGTCAATTATAACATTCCTCTTAAGACAAAAAAATAAGCTTTTTTTCATGTAGTCACATTTTTTGTTTCTCATAATTATAGCGCCCATTAAACACTTTGTCTTGTATCTAGGCCTATGCCAGGCCAAGACACCATGGAAACCTCAAGAGGATGAATCATTCCTGAAGGAATGTGAAACTTATAAAAATGCCCCAAAAAATATGTGGGTCAGGGATAAATGTTTTGTATTCTTTTGACCTAGATTTTTAAGGTGAATTTTGAAATGCACACATCTTGAGTCATAAATGTAAATTATAAGATATATGTCTATACTGTACATCATATTCTACAGTAATGCATTCTTTAAACCCTCTGTTTCTAGCCAACCTTCCAAGGTGTTTAAACATAAATACTTATTTGAAACAAAGAATTTAAAACAGTGACACATGCTCTTGCCATGAATTTGTAAAAAGTAACATACATACAAAACAAGACAATAAATAAATACAAAAAAATGTTTTACAAAATTGCCAAATGTTGTATAATTCTACAGTTCATTACCAAGAACACCTGTTAAATTGTCATTAAAAAATATTAAAAACGATAGATAGGAAAGATGCAAGATGTAAGTAGCACATTTTAACATTAGTCCCTTAATGTACCATTAATGTTGAATTTTGCCATTCATTTTTATGCTGACAATTTTTAGTAAGATAGGGGAATATTTTAGTTCAATAAAGGACATAGGCTAAGTAGTCTAGAGAAGTGACTGGTCAAGAGTGTGTGGAAGTTGCGTCTCAAAACACAATTACAATCGTCTGAAGAAAAACCACAAGAATTGCAGACAAATGCTTTGGTTGTTTTATCTTCAAATTCTAGAAATTATAACAATACAAAGGGGACAGAAATTTAAAGTTATCATAGAATGCATGCATGGATATCTCACAACTCACCACCTCCCCCTTCAACATCTCTCTTAACTTTCTTACAAACAAATTGAAAAAATAATTCTAATACAACTCTTGAGAGTATTTGTTTAAAATGAAACTATGACTTTGGTGGCTAAGGTGATAGCCTTCTGATTCTAGAGACCAGGCATCTTTTGAAACATAACTAAAGCTCAATTTATCATTTAATAACAACCTTTATATATGCCTCATATTGTTCAAATATAACTTACAGAGCAACCTCTAAGTGGCAAGTGACTATAAATGTATTGATTAACAAATCACACACATTTTTACATACTTTTTGCATTAAGTTCTGAAAAAAAAAAGACCCATACAAACAGCAACCCTACAAAAATTAACTTTAAGGTAATACCAAGCAGGGGATATAACATGTTGTAGTGAAATGCTTCGATACTACATAATATCAGGGTTAGATTTGAAGCTGGGTTCAATAGGATTTAGCCCACCACCTTAAACTTTCAACCAACTTGCATGTTTCTTATGAAGTTACTCTGAAATAATAAGCTAGTATATTCAGCAGCGGCTCTAGAATATATCTTCTGGGAGGATAAGCTCTCCGACACGGGACGGGTATGTGAGGGGGTTCCCCCTCCCAAATGAGATTTTTTCGGCAACCTCTGGATGGCAGGAAATGGCACTCCCAGACTGTGACAGACATGTTGGCTTGGTGTAAGCCTGTTTTTATATTTCCTATGGTCTGTCCAGTGGGGAGGGGGGCTTAAGCCCCCTGTCCCCACTGGCACCACCACTGAGTATACTGCCAAAATTATAATTATTTAACACATCTGAAAATATTAGCTTATCAACCAGGTACGTGTTTATTTAAACTATCTAATATTTGTGGTACCCACCCTAACAAAATATTCTTTTCTGGATTCGCCTCTGTAGTTGTTTTATTTTTGGTTTTTAGAATAAAAGTTTTATGGATTTTATTTATTTTTACTTCAGTATATACACACCAAAATACACAATGGGTAGCAAAAATTGAAAATATATATATTCCAAGTTTAAAAAAAATATATAGTTTCTTGGTTAAAATAGCAGTTGTATAGAGCTTGTAAATTTTGCAGATTCTTATTCTTTTCTTATTAAGTGCACTTAGACTTCAGTAAATGGAGCTAAATTACCCATCTCAAAAATAAAAACCATAGAAAATACTCACAGTGTAAACAAAAACTATAATAAATTACTAGACAGTGATATGAAGAATATGAAGTTAAAATTTACTGAAATAATACAAAAAAAATCTAAAATGGTGCAACATTATAGTTTTCTCTTCTATCACTTTATTGTTATCAAGGTACTACCAGTGACTTTTTATCCCAAATTTCATTGGTGATTTCAGATCACATGATTAATCTGCAATCAATAGAATTAAGAAAAGTCAATGAGTAGAATCCAAGAGTTTAACAAGCCCTCTAGCTATTGTTAAACAACGAGGTTGTTAGGTACCCAGACATCAATATTAATGAATGGGACCCAATCAATACCACCATGCAATTAACTTGCAATTGTAGCAAGAGACCATGTGACTATCCTATAGACATGTTGATGATTGTTAACCCCTCATGCTGGCTAAAAACGACCAACTACAAAAAATTATACTTTCCACTACAATATAAAAACGCCATCAGAACACTATAATATTCAAAACGCCATCAGAACACTATAATATTCAAAACGCCATCAGAACACTATAATATTCAAAACGCCATCAGAACACTATAATATTCAAAACGCCATCAGAACAAAACGCCATCAGAACACTATAATATTCAAAACGCCATCAGAACACTATAATATTCAAAACGCCATCAGAACACTATAATATTCAAAACGCCATCAGAACACTATAATATTCAAAACGCCATCAGAGCACTATAATATTCAAACTAATAATGCACTTACTGTCACATGGACACAAAACAAAACAATTTTATCATTACAAAAAAAAATTATTTATTTGATTTTTTTTCTTTATATCAAATGATTTATTCATAGTGTTATCAGATACCACAAAAAACATATTTTAAGGGTAAATGTTGTTTCTATTCTGTATGCATTTCTGCACATCATTTTTTATTCACAATCATTAATTATTCATATAATTTTACATTTTTTTGAGCAAATGTTCATATTTGAAATCTTATTAAATTGCCCACTTACATTTTTTAGATATAGAATGTCATTTAAAACAGCAATTTATGATCATAGAAAGCTACATTACTTCACGGTCTTTTTTTGCTTTCATAAAGTTTGTTCCTACCCCATTAAAATAACTCAGTATATATATATATATATATACACATCTAGATGTGTATAAGAGACAGTCTCACAACTCACCACCTCCCCCTTCAACATCTCTCTTAACTTTCTTACAAACAAATTGAAAAAATAATTCTAATACAACTCTTGAGAGTATTTGTTTAAAATGAAACTATGACTTTGGTGGCTAAGGTGATAGCCTTCTGATTCTAGAGACCAGGCATCTTTTGAAACATAACTAAAGCTCAATTTATCATTTAATAACAACCTTTATATATGCCTCACATTGTTCAAATATAACTTACAGAGTGTTCTCAACAACCCTCCCTCCCCACAGTGAGTGAGTAGCATTTTCCACAGGCTTATCAAGAAACAAAATGATTTAATTCAACAAGTGCTTTCAAAGATATTATTTCCTTCCCGGAATTAGAAGAGAGTTAGT